CTCTTCCTTTTTGACCTTTGATAGAAAAAATAAAAAAGAAAATAAGAAAAACACCCAATAAAAAGAGAGACGAGAAAAGGTCTCTCTCTCTGTCTCTCTCTCTCGGCTTTGGTTTTATAGTAAAGAAAAGCAGTCGTGTCATAGAAACTGAAGAAACAAATTCGGGGTTTGCTTCTGGCTCTGGTGTCATTTTTTGCTGTTTTGTAAGGTATGTCGCTTTTGGTTTCTTGGGTTTTCATTTGTTCGTTTCAGTTGGTGAGGGGTTTTGCTTGGTGGGTGAGAAAATGAGGGAAAAAAGGGATGGAATTTGGAGAGATGGTCTTGTATTTTGGTTATTTCTAAGTTTGCTATTTCTGGAATTCTGGGAGATGTTAGTGTTGGGGTTTTATGTTTTCGTTATTTTTTAGGAACATAACAGTTGAGATGTTGTGTAAATGTGATCGTTGAGGTTTTTTTTTGTTTTGTTTTGTTTTTTTTTTAAATACTCTCTTGTTTGTTAAGGTGGTAACGGATTTCTGTTTAGTTATTAGGTTAATTTTAGATAATTTTTTTTACTGTTATCGAACTTTTTTTTGATTATTGGGTGTTTGGAGATTTGAGCGCTTATCTCTGAATTCAATTGTTATTGTTATTAATTTTTTCAGTTCTGGTCCTGTTTAGGTTCATTAATTTTATGAATGATTGATCTTTTGTTTTGTGGGTCTCTTATTTATTGATTCATTTATTTATTTATTTTTTAAAATTTCCAGTATTGGAAAATCGATTCTTGTTTGGATTGTAGGAAAAAGTTTTATGCTTTGAAAAGTTGAAAAGATCCACGTTTTCTATCATCGTTAGTAAATGTTTTTTAATTCTTTGTCATACAATTTTGTAGAAGGAGATTGTGAGAGGTGTCTGAAAAGTAAAGAGATTTCCATGTGCAGCGGTTCAAAGAGGAAACCAACTCAAACTGGTTATATTATGGAGGGTAAAGAAGATGGATTTTCCTTCAATTTCTCTGTTTTGCTTGAATTTGCTGCTGCAAATGATCTGACTGGATTTAAGACCGCTATTGAGGAAATGGGTCTTGATATTGATAAATCAACTTTATGGTATGGGAGGAGGATTGGCTCGAAAAAGATGGCCTTTGAGGAGAGGACGCCTCTTATGATTGCTGCCATGTTTGGAAGCAAAGATGTGTTGAATTATATCATCGAAAGTGGTGGTGTTGATGTTAACCGGGTTTGTGGCTCTGATGGGGCCACCGCGCTTCATTGTGCTGCTGCTGGTGGCTCTGCTGCGTCCCCTGAGGTTGTCAAGGTCCTGCTTGCTGCTTCTGCTGATGCCAGTGTTCTTGATGCTAGTGGAAACAGACCTGGTGACTTGATTGCTCCAGTTTGTGATTTGGCTTTCAGTTCGAGGAAGAAGACATTGGAGGTTTTGCTGAAAGGTGCAAGTGGTGTTGAGGAAACATATGACTTGCCTGATAAAGTGGTTAATGAAACTGATGTGCAAGAACAGCTTGAGATTTCGACTCCTAAGGTTTCTGAGAAGAAGGAGTATCCAGTTGATCTTACCCTTCCAGATATAAAGAATGGAATTTATGGGACTGATGAATTTAGAATGTATACTTTCAAGGTCAAACCCTGTTCAAGGGCTTATTCCCATGATTGGACTGAGTGCCCATTTGTTCATCCTGGGGAAAATGCAAGGAGGCGTGATCCAAGGAAATACCACTATAGTTGTGTCCCATGTCCTGAATTTCGAAAGGGTTCATGCAGGCAAGGGGATGCCTGTGAGTATGCACATGGTATCTTTGAGTGCTGGCTTCATCCTGCACAGTACCGGACACGGCTGTGCAAAGATGAGACAAACTGTACTAGGAGGGTATGTTTCTTTGCTCACAAGCCAGAAGAGCTGAGGCCCCTGTATACCTCAACTGGGTCAGGGGTGCCTTCTCCGCGGTCATATTCAGCCAGTGGCTCTTCACTTGATTTAGGCTCCATTAGCCCCCTTGCTCTTGATTCTCCATCCGTTATAATACCTCCTACATCAACCCCGCCTTTAACCCCTTCTGGTGCATCTTCTCCTAGGGGTGGAAATATGTGGCAGACTCAGTCTAGTTTTGTTCCTCCTACCTTGCAACTTCCTGGGAGTAGATTGAAATCTGCTATCAGTGCCAGAGATATGGATTTAGACATTGACCTACTCAACCTAGAGAGTCAACGTCGTAGGCAGCAGCAGCAGCAGCAACTAATTGATGAGATATCTGGTCTTTCCTCCCCATCCAGCTGGAACAATGGCTTCACATCTGCCTCGTCCTTTTCTCCTTCTGTTGATCGAAGTGGAGAGCTGAATAGGCTTG